AAAATCCTGCCGGGGTGGGGAGCAGCCCCAGGCACCAGGACTTGTTAGGGGCTGTGAGGCTGCAAAACAGCTCTGCAGAAAAGGACCTAGAGGTCTTGTTGGGCACCAACTTAACCATAAACTACCACCATGCCCTTGGGGCAAAGAGGGCTGATGGTGCCTCGGGAGGAGTGCTGAGGGAGGTGGCCCTGCTCCTCGGCGCTGGTGAGGCTGCTCATGGAGTGCTGTGTCCAGCAATGGGCTCCCCAGTGCACAGAGGCATGGACACGCTGGAGCCTGTCCAGTGAAGGGCCACCAAAATGACTGGAGCATCTTTTCTAGGAGGAAATGCTGCAAAGAGCTGGGACTGGAGAAGACAGGGTTTAGGGGGATCTTACCAATGGGTAGAAATACCTGAGGGGGGGTGTGTGAAGATGGAGTCAGGTTCTTCTCAGTGGTGTCCTGTGCCAGGACATGAGGCAACAGGCACAAACTGAAGCCCAGGAGGGTTCTTCTGAACAAGAAACACTTCTTCACTGTGAAGGTGACCAAGCACGGGCACACGATTGCCCAGAGAGGCAGTGGAGTCTCCATCCATGGAGACATCATGACCAGGAATGTTGGGCCAGCTGACCTTCTGTCGTGGTTTGAGCCCAGAGGGCAACTTGAGCGCCACACAGCCGTTCACTCTCCCCCCAGTGCTGGGAAGTTAAAAATTAAGAAAAAGGCTCAGGAATTAGGATTAGGACAGGGAAAGGTGTTTTACCCATTAGGGTGGCAGGTTAAAGATAGCCTAGTTAGGGGAAGAAAAAAAAAGACATCACTTTAATTCAAAACACTAACAATGACACTTAACAGACAGAATGAGAGAATAAGAAGCGTTGCCATGTCTTAAAAACACCTCCCCCTACCCGTCCCTTCTTGCTGGGCTGTTTTGTTCCCGGTATCTTTACCTCCTCCTTCAGCAGCAGAGGGGCAACGGATGGGGGGTGCAGTCAGTCCCCCCTTCTTCCTGCAGGGAGGGCAGAAATTGCTCCTCTGTGTTCTTCCCTCTGCTCCACATGGCACCCCTCTCCCAGGAGACAGCCCTCCATGAACTTTCTCCACCGTGAGTCCTCCCCACAGGTCACATTCTTTTTGAGATGCTCCGGCATGGATCACCTCCGCGTGTTGCAGCCCTCCCAGTGATGAACTACAACAGCGGGGGCTGCTTCTTCCCACAGAGTCCCAGGGCTCCCCCACAGGCCGCGGGTGGGTCTCTGCTCCGCTGGGTGTCCATGGGTGTCAGGGGGTGGCCCTGCCCTCTCACCATGAGGCACAGGGGGGTCTCTGCTCTGGCACACCTCCCCTCCTTCCTCCTCCTCCTTCCACTGACCCTGGTGTTCACATAGGTGTCCTTCTCTTACAGTCTCCTCACAAATCCCTCACCCCCTCTCCATATTCCCCTTCTTAACTACATTATCGCAGAGGCGCAGCCACCATCGCTAACTGGCTCGGCCTTGGCCAGAGCTGGGTCTGACTTGGAGCTGGGGGAGCTTCCAGAAGCTTCTCACAGGGCCACCGCTGTAGCCTCCCCCTCCCCTGCTACCACCCCCCGGCCATACAAACCCTGCCCACCTTCAGAGGTGCCCCCAACCCCTCTGGGACGCTGTTAGGTCTCTTGCCAAGGAACGAGGCAAAAGTTTTGGGGGCTCGCTCTCCCTCTCCCAGCAAGAGGCCAGGGCAGTGATTTTTGCGTTATGGAGAAGTTATTTTGGGGCTCTTGGCTAAGGTAAAGCAATGCATGGAGAAACTAGGGCAGCCCCAGCATTGGTGGCATTATCTCCCACCACCACCTTTCCCCTAAATCCTGTTTCTTTTCCCCAAAAGAGTCCCCGCCATGTACCCCCTCACCAGGGCCTATGCACAGCCCTGAGGCCTATTCATGGCTGTTTTCCTTCCAGGGAGAGGAGGATAGATGCTTGATTTTGTGCAAGATACATGGGTTTTTTCCCTTTTCTAGCCTATCTTAGAAGTTGGGAAGGAGTGTCCCAAGGTGGGGGGACTTGCTGTGTGGTTTTTGTAGGGTTTTGGTGAGCATGGCCTTGTCGGGGTGTGAACATTGTGTTGTCTCATGGGCCTTATTTGAACACCCTTGTCTTCAGCAATGGTGACAGCTGTGGTACCTCATGGGGCATGACAGGGTCACCCTTGTCTGCAGCTGTGATGAAGGCAGTGATATCTCACAGGAAATTTATGGACACACCTGTTTCCCAGCTGTGTGAAGGTTGGGTAATCTCATGGGGCCTTTTACGGGGACATGTGGTCTCTGGCTGTGGCGAAAGCTGTGCTGTCTCATGAGGCCTTTTATGTGGACTCCATGTCCCCAGCCGCGGTGAAGACTGGTTGTCTTACGGGGTTTTTATGGGGACACCCTTGTGCTCCACTGTGGTGGAGGTTGCGTCATGTTGTGGGATGTTTTGGAGGACATTCTCTCGCCCAGCCCAGCCAAGATGAAGGCTGTGCCACCTCATGGCACTCCTGTGGGGAGTGGTGGTGAACTCACCGTGAGTGCTGCCAGCCTGGGGGGTTGATAACCCCCAGCAGTGACAAGCAACAGCACAGATAAGGAACTGTCAATAATGACCCACCTTTCTTTTCCTTCCTTTTTTCCTTTCATCATTTTTTTCTTTTTGCCCCTTTCACCCTCTTTTTATTCCTTTTTTTAGCTTTGGGGGCTTGGGAGAGTTTTGCCTTTCTTTTCCTTTTTTTTTTTTTTTTTTTTGCTTGCTTTTTCCATCTTTCCTTTGTCTTCAGATCTCAGAAAAGGAGGAGGTTTGACCACTTGGGAGCTTCTGAGGCTGCACCCCCAGAGCTGGGCTTCCACCATGCAGTAGGGGACCTTGAAAGGGGCTCTCCAACCCCATGGGAGCCACTGAACACCTGCGCTGGGACAACAGATAAGGGAAGGGCAGTGGGACTGGCAGGCAGAGACAACTGCAGGCAGCAGCCCCACTGCCATCCTGCCTGGCCAGATGGCCACAAACCAGTTGTGCCACCCAACAGCCACCAGTTCCCCTTCTTTCACCAGCACTAATGACAGCTTTTCCTCCCGATAAAAGCTCCTGACGCTGCACTTGGCCAACGTGTGTCTGACGGGGCCAAGCCCTGGCCCGGACAGGGTGTGCCACCACAGTGCTGCTGCCCGCTGCTCTGACCAGCTGCTTGTGCTCCTCTCCAAATCCCTCTGGATCTCCAGCTCTGGTACGTGTTTCCCCAGCGGTCATGGTTTTCAGTGTGAGTGCTTTCTTTGTACCCCTAAATCTGGGGGGTGATTCACTCTGCCTGCTCCCAGGTCAGGAGATGGGGGACAAGGGCTGGGGGATGTCATGGTGGAGCCTCCTGGGGATGGTTTACACCCCACGGAGCGTGGGAGATGGCGTGCCACAGCTGCCCAGCTCGTTTACATCATATCCCAAAGCTGTGAGCATCCCTCCATTGAGTGGCCGCATCCCAGCCACTGCGGTCCTCTTCCAGCTGGAAATGCAGCGCCATCCCCACAAAAAAGAGGGAAACCTGGGATTAAGAGGAGAGGGGGTGGGATGGCTCCTTGCCCTTGCGCTGCTGTTTCCAGGGAAAATTCGAGTAAGAGGATGGAAAGGCGAGTGGCCAGAGCCAGAGCAGGCGGTGGAGCCAGGGGTGTTATTTAATCCGATGTTGTGGTTATTTCATGCAGCAGCCATTACCTGTGACAAATGGGCCTCCGGGGAGGCAGAGGGAAGAGATGAGTGATAAATCCCAGGCATGACTCCAGCCAGGGCTGGGTGCAACTGGAAACACATAAATAAGAACTGG